AGGAGCTGGTGATAGCGCCGATGTTAGCGCTAGTGTTAGCGCCAGTGTTAGCGCCAGTGTTAGCGCTGGTGTCATTTTAGATTCAGGTCATGATTTTGCACAAAGTTTTGATATTTATAATTCTTCGTCTTTTGTCTTACACTGAACGTCATGAACCATGAGTCGTAAGGGTTGACTCTCAGCGCTCACGGACCCAGGCTGCAGCTTATGGCATGATGAAGTCGGTGGTTTTGGATGTGAAAAATAATAATAATGATAATAAAAGTGGCAGTAAATGCAGTGATGAGATTATATCACGTGACTCAGCTCTGCTTCATTTGCATAATCCTCTTTGTCGCTTTGTTTTTACAGTAATTGGTCTAAATCTGAAAACTCATTAAAGACGTCACGATTGTTCGGAACGATGACGCTTGTGTTGGCACGGAAACGGAAGAGGAATGTCAAGTTTTGGCAGTACGCGGAGACAGGGGCTCAGCTTTGTCTAATTCTTCGGTGTTTTAATTTTGTGGATAAAACGCGAGTAAACGTTGGCAGTTGTTTTAACGGCTTCTGATTTTCCCGTTCGTACAGTTTTTACTCTAATGTCAGAGTCCTGAGAACGGGACTCCGGAATTTGTTGGGGTTTGGGGCGTCTCGGGTTCGCTACAGTCGCTCCAAGACATGTGGTTCTACTCTAGTGGTTTGGTACCTCTTGGGTTTGGGGTTGTAGCTGACATAGCATGATCAAATACCACCGTGTATTCCTTAGACTTTGTAAACGCACCAAAAATAGTTAAATGACTCACCCAATAACCCTAACTCTGCAAGACTGGCTCTGGCCTTGACTGGGTCTACCCTCAGTTTAGTCCGGTCCCCCATGATCCCATGTGGTCTATGAGCCAGTCTGAAACCAGCTAGACTATGACATGTGCTATCTAAGATAAGATAAGACTTCCCAGTTGTAGATGACATGGTTTTCTCTGGTAGCTTGGGCACCTCTTGGGTTTGGGGGTGTGGGGGTGTGGGGGTGTGGGGCATCTTTAGACTTCCGTAGTGTCAGTTCTAGATGCAGACGTGGTTTTCTTTCTCTAATCGTTTGCTTTGATCGTAGTAATGTAAAAACATGAGTTGGTGGGATCCATGCTCCCACTCTGTCACACACTGTACATCCCATGCAACAAGGGTTTCTCTTTAAACCAGCTAACGATGCAAAAGGTAAAGATTATATGGTTGACACTTATATTGGCATGCAAACAGCCTCCTCTGGGCTCCTCTGAAAAGACCCGCACTGGTCGGGCACACGCCGGGAATCCACGTGGTTTACGCTTTTAAGCTTCCCTTTGGCAAGACACTTTACACACTTTCCCAAATGTTTGACCTTCTGTTCCCTCATGCTCAGCCCCAGGGGTCTTTGAAGGACTCCCGGGGCTCTCACTCCGGACGTGCTGTTCCCCAGTGTGGATCCTTTCTTACAATTATCATCGGAATTATTGTCTAAATGTTAAGCGAGGGTTCTGCAGCAGTGAAAGTTCTATAGTTTAAACGCAGATATTTGTACAAGCGACAGTTTGTGTCACGACACCGTTATGTTCAGATAGAAATGATTCAAAGCTTCAGTTTTACTCAAACCTGGACACATGTTGGACAAGTCTGGGTCCCTCTTTTGGACGAGGGTAGAAAGGTTAGTGGACTTCAGCAGTGACCCTAACATCATCATCCTCCCAAGGCTTTAAAGCTCTTCTCTACTGGATACAGACTGTTGTTTATCCTGTCCTGCTCATGTTTGTTACCAAGCTAACGCTAACAGGTGTTCTGGGAAAGGGCCCTGACGTTGGCATGTGCCCAGGTCTCTCCGACACTAACGGGATATGTACAGTGGAGATATATGAACATTATTTTCAGCTTTGACATTCTCATGCATACGACCACAAGAAGCGAAAGTCCATTGAAAAATCGTCCGAGCATTTTGTGACTATGAGTTTTCCCCCGTTTTTTTCCCCTGTGTCATAAATGCAGAATAATGGGTCGTGGGGAGGGGGCTTCTCAACCTGCGGGGCAGGCACCACGGTCCACTTCTCTTTTGTTCTCAGATACTTGCATGGTCCGGGTTAGGACCAGGTTCCGGCTTCAGTTCAGTTTAGTCCAGACTTGATTCAGTCCGGCTTCACTTGGTGCTGTTGGTGTTTTGTAAGGTTTTCTGATGGTCCGATCATAGCGTATCTTATTTTAGTGTGTTTACATGTTATATTTCCCTTTGTAGCTTACATAGCATGATCAAATACCACCATGTATTCCTTAGACTTTGTAAACTCACATCAAATTGTAAAAGTATTATTTTGGTGCATAATTTAGTAAACTCTCCAAGACTGGATTTGGCCATGACCAGGTCTATGTTCCCATATGGTCTATGAGCCAGTCTGAAACCAGCTAAACTAAGTCACGTGCTACCTAAATCTCTCTCCTTCCTTCTTTCTGAAACTAAGTGAATAAGAGACGGTTTGTTTTCCTGCAAGTGGAAGAAGCGCTCTGTAACCCTGTGGTCAGTGGGCCTGAGGGCAGGTTAGATAGGCCTTGTGGGGGGACTGGGACTAGGAGCTAGTGAGTAGGAGGTATTGTGTAGGGAGTAGGGAGTATGGGGAGGAGGAGCTAGCAGGGGTGGCTGCAGGTTTTAGTTCCAACTTGAGCACAGCAGACCGCAACCATTTCCTCAAATCTTCAGGTTAAACGGAACTCCCCTGAGTCGGATGTGCTTCTGTTTAGGTTGGAACTAAAACTCTAACTCACAGATGCCGCACGGGCTCTTTAAGGACCAGTGTGGCCTCTGTGAGCTCCGGTATAGCGAGAAGGAGCAATGACATAGGGAGTGGTGTGTAGGGTAATGGGAGGAGCTAGGGCAGGGGGGGGCAAACCGGTCCTCAAAGGCCCGGTTTGGGGGTTCACTTCTGCATGTCTCACTGCAGCAGCGGCACAATGGACGGGTCGCTCTCAATAGCCCTGGTACAGGTCAGGGAGTGGGGGCAGGGGCAGGGTACAGGGTGTGGGGTGTAGGGGTTGGGGGTTCACTTCTGCATGTCGCACTGGAGCAGCAGGACGATGGACGGGTCGCTTTTCGCCGCCTCTTTGAACTCGTCCAGTGAAATCTGGTCGTCGTTGTTTTTATCCATTTTGCTGAAGATTTTGTCGACGCGCTGCGCAGGAGTCAGACCGTCCTCGTTCATCTTCATCATGATGACCGTGCCCACCATCTTGTAGATCGCCTACGGACACACGCACAGAAGCAGCTCATTACTAGCGCGGAAAATTAGAGTACGCGGCCGGCCTTGATGTTTATTCATCAAACTGAATTTCTCCATCTGTGTGAGATAATAAAGGATTGATTGATTACTGCTTCTGCTGCTGCTGCTACTGCTGCTGCTGCTGCTGCTGCTGCTGCTGCTGCTGCTGCTGCTGCTGCTGCTGCTGCTGCTGCTGCTACTGCTGCTGCTGCTACTGCTGCTGCTGCTGCTGCTACTGCTGCTGCTGTTGCTGCTGCTGCTGCTGCTGCTGCTGCTACTGCTGCTGCTGCTGCTGCTACTGCTGCTGCTGCTACTGCTGCTGCTGCTACTGTTGCTGCTGCTGCTGCTGCTGCTGCTGCTGCTACTGCTGCTGCTGCTGCTGCTGCTGCTGCTACTGTTGCTGCTGCTGCTGCTGCTGCTGCTGCTGCTGCTGCTGCTGCTGCTGCTGCTGCTGCTGCTGCTGCTGCTGCTACTGCTGCTGCTGCTACTGTTGCTGCTGCTGCTGCTACTGCTGCTGCTGCTACTGTTGCTGCTGCTGCTGCTGCTGCTGCTGCTGCTGCTGCTGCTGCTGCTGCTGCTGCTGCTGCTGCTGCTGCTGCTGCTGCTGCTGCTGCTGCTGCTGCTGCTGCTGCTGCTGCTGCTGCTGCTGCTGCTGCTGCTGCTGCTGCTACTGCTGCTGCTGCTGCTGCTGCTGCTGGTCCCTCTCCTCTGGTCTCTGGTCTCTCCCTGGTCCCTCCCCCCTGGTCTCTCCCTGGTCTCTCTGGTCTCTCACCTCTATGATCTGTAGCATCTCCATCCTGGTCTCTCCCTGGTCCCTCCCTGGTCCCTCCCTGGTCTCTCCCTGGTCTCTCCCTGGTCCCTCCCTGGTCTCTCCCTGGTCCCTCCCTGGTCCCTCTCCCCTGGTCTCTCTGGTCTCTCCCTGGTCCCTCCCTGGTCCCTCTCCCCTGGTCTCTCTGGTCTCACCTCTATGATCTCCAACATCTCCACCCTGGTCTCTCCCTGGTCTCTCCCTGGTCTCTCCCTGGTCCCTCCCTGGTCCCTCTCCCCTGGTCTCTCTGGTCTCACCTCTATGATCTCCAACATCTCCACCCTGGTACCTCCCTGGTCACTCCCTGGTCTCTCACTGGTCTCTCCCTGGTCCCTCCCTGGTCCCTCCCTGGTCTCTCCCTGGTCCCTCCCTGGTCTCTCCCTGGTCCCTCCCTGGTCTCTCCCTGGTCCCTCCCTGGTCTCTCACTGGTCTCTCCCTGGTCCCTCCCCCCTGATCTTTCCCTGGTCTCTCTGGTCTCTCACCTCTATGATCTCCAGCATCTCCACCCTGGTCCCTCTCCCCTGGTCCCTCTCCCCTGGTCCCTCTCCCCTGGTCCCTCTCCCCTGGTCTCTCTCTGGTCTCTCACCTCTATGATCTCCAGCATCTCCACCCTGGTGATCTTGCCGTCTCCGTCCAGGTCGTACATGTTGAAGGCCCAGTTCAGCTTCTGCTCAAAGCTCCCCCTGCTGGTGATGGACAGAGCACAGATGAACTCTCGGAAGTCGATGGTTCCGTCTCCGTTCTTGTCGAAGGTCCTGAAGGCGTGTTCCGCGAACTTTGACGCGTCGCCGTACGGGAAAAACTGTCACGGAACACAACAACAGAGAGAAGTTAGAAAAGGCCTATATATGTTCTAGTCCCGGGTGTGAAGGGTTCCAGGCCCCACTGTGATTATTCAGGATTTTCATATTAGTATCTTATCTCTCTGGTCTCCCTCTGGTCTCTCTGGTCTCTCTCTCTGGTCCCGCTCTGGTCTCTCTCTCTGGTCCCTCTCTGGTCTCTCTTTTGTATCTCTCTGGTCTTTCTCTATAGTCGCTGGTTTCTCTCTCTGGTTTCTCAAGTCTCTCTCTGACCTCTCTGGTCTCTCTCTGGTCCTTCTCAAGTCTCTCTCTTGTCTCTTTCTGGTCTCTCTCTGGTCCCACTTTGGTGTCTCTCTCTGGTCTCTCAAGTCTCTCTCTGACCTCTCTGGTCTCTCTCTGGTCCTTCTCAAGTCTCTCTCTTGTCTCTTTCTGGTCTCTCTCTGGTCCCACTTTGGTGTCTCTCTCTGGTCTCTCAAGTCTCTCTCTGACCTCTCTGGTCTCTCGCTGGTCTCTCTCTGGTCCTTCTCTGGCCTCTCTTTTTTCTCTCTCTGTGGCAATACCAGCAGCAGTACCAGCAGCAGTACCAGCAGCCTTACCTTCACGTACAGCTGCTGGAACTCGTCCAGGTTGAGGCGGCCGCTGGGACAGTCCTTGAGGAACCCCTTGTACCATTGTTTGAGCTCGTGTTCATTAAACTCTGTGTTCTTCACCAGGTCCTCCATCACCTCCGGAGTCAGCTTGGAGTTCTGCTTCCCCATGGCAACTGTCAACAACAAGCAGTAACCATGGCAACAGTCAATGACAAGTAGTAACCATGGCAACTGTCAACAACACGCAGTAACAATGGCAACTGTCAACAACAAGCAGTAACCATGGCAACTGTCAACAACAATCAGTAACCATGGCAACTGTCAACAACAAGCAGTAACCATGGCAACTGCCAACAACAAGTAGTAACCATAGGAACTGCCAACAATAAGCAGTAACCATGGCAACTAGTCCTGGTCCAAGTCCAGGTCCTGCTCTGATCCTGGTTCTGCTCTGGTACTGGTCCTTCTCTGGTTCTGGTCCTGCTCTTGTCCTGGTCCTGCTCTGGTCCTGGTCCTGCTCTGGCACTGGTCTGGTCTTGCTCTAGTCCTGGTCCTGCTCTGGTCCTGGTCCTTCTCTGGTTTTGGTCCTGCTCTGGTCCTGGTCCTGCTCTGGTCCTGCTCTGGTCCTGGTCCTTCTCTGGTCCTGGTCCTTCTCTGGTCCTGGTCCTTCTCTGGTCCTAGTCCTGCTCTGGTCCTGGTTCGGCTCTGGTCCTGGTCTTGCTTTGCTCTGGTCATGGTCCTGGTCTGGGTCTCATGGTCAGTGATCGTGACGGTCATAGATTCACAAGTTTTACACACTGTGAATTAAGTCTGAGCTTTGAGGTCACAACAGACCTGACCCTTGGCCTGGACACACACACAGACACACCCACACCCACACACACAGACACACACACACACATACACACAGACACACACACACACACCCACACACAGATACACACACACACACACACACACACACTCGCACACACACACAAACACACACTCGCACACACATAGACACACACACACACACACAAACATACACACACACACACACAGTTCGATCTGATCAGGTTTCACCGTAAAGTGAAGAGTTGCTGCTATCACAAAATATTATGACAACTACTACTACTGCTATAACTGCTACTGCTACTACTGCTACTGCTACTACTGCTACTGCTACTACTGCTACTGCTACTACTACTATACTGCTACTACTGCTGCTACTGCTACTGCTACTACTGCTACTAATGCTGCTACTGCTGTTGTCTCTGTGTTTCTCTCGTTGAAAAGTTTGCATGTTCTGCACATGCCAGAATCACATTTCATGATGTTCCCACATGATTAACCCTTTCAGGCTCGCCTCTCCGCAGGCCTGGCGTAGCTACGGTCACACCATGGTTTCCATGGAGACAGTGAGACGTGAGGAAAGTCCCGTAGTGCCTCTTAAACCCGCTCAGCCGCCTCGTACCGCGTTTCATCTGCCGCGCGGCAAAGAGCGTCAATGCAGCAGCATCTGCGCAGTAGCGCACTGCGCTACCGCACCACACAGCGCTCAAGCCGCACGGTGAGCGCGCCGAAGGAGCGGTGCGTCACGCGGACACCAAACATGGGGTTCGGGATGACCTTGAGCAGAAACACGCGACACGTCCAGACAAAACACGTTCAGACGAAAGACGCAAAACGCGACAAGCGACATGCGGCGCAGATCAAACACATCCCACATTCCGATGGAAACACCGCAGTGAGGCGCGTCTGTGCCGCGCCACACATGACGCTGTTTTACCGCAGAGACACTGCGGCTCTCCGCGCGGCAGGACGCGTCTCACCTGTTTGTGTCGTTTGTCGATGATTCAGACGCGCAGAGTTGAGGACGTCAAAGGCACGCGCACACACACGCGCTGAACCTGCCGCGTGCCGCGTGTCCCTGTGTTTGATGTGAAGAGACGCGGTGAAAGCGCCAGTGCGGTGGAGTCAGCGGCAGCGCGTCACATGCGCATCACTAACCCCCCCACCCCCACCTCCTCTCCTCCCCCTCCTCCATCCCTCTTCCTCCCCCACATCGCCTCCCCTCTCCTCCCCCCTCCTCCATCTCTCCTCCCTCACCTCCCCTCTCCTCCCCTCTCCTCCCCCACCTCCCCTCTTCTCAGTGTAAACTGTTATCATCACTGACAGCCTGCGGTAACCCTGACAACGGGATGCTGCCAATCATGAATATCAAGAGCGTAAATGTATTTACAAGACGACGAGAGGGGTGAGGAGGAGTAAGGGGAGTGAGGAGGGTGAGGAGGGGTGAGGAGGGTAAGGAGGGGTGAGGAGGGTGAGGAGGGGTAAGGGGAGTGAGGAGGGGTGAGGAGGGTAAGGAGGGGTGAGGAGGGTGAGGAGGGTGAGGAGGGGTAAGGGGGGTGAGGAGGGGTGAGGAGGGGTGAGGAGGGGTAAGGGGAGTGAGGAGGGTGAGGAGGGTGAGGAGGGGTGAGGAGGGGTAAGGGGAGTGAGGAGGGTGAGGAGGGGTGAGGAGGGGTAAGGGGGGTGAGGAGGGGTGACACACACACACAGACACACACACAGACACGTACACACACAGACACGTACACACACAGACACACACACAGACACACACACACACACACACACAGACACACACACACAGACACACACACACATACACACACACAGACACACACACACAAACACACACAGAGAAACAGACACACATACACACAGACACACACACACACACACACACGACACACACATATTCTCAAAGAATAAGGGTGGGCGCATTTCTCCCCGGGAGAGAGCGCATGAAATCTGTCTTGAAAAAGAGCAATGACAGGTCCCAGAACCAAGGGGAGTCCCTGGAGGTTTTAACCTTGAAAAAAGCCCTTAAATCCGGCTTAAAATAGGGCCATGCGGGTCCTAGAACCGAGGGGATTCTGTGGAGGTTCTATCCCCGAAAAAAGCTCAGAAATCCGGGCATAAATGCAGCACTGGCAAGCCTGAGACCCAGGGGGGTCCTCGCAGGTTTTAACCCCGAAAAAAGCCCTCAAATCCGGCTTAAAATAGGGCCATGCGGGTTCCAGAACCGAGGGGATTCTGTGGAGATTCTATCCCCGAAAAAAGCTCAGAAATCCGGGCATAAATGCAGCACTGGCAAGCCTGAGACCCAGGAGGGGTCCTCGGAGGTTTTAACCCCGAAAAAAGCCCTTAAATCCGGCTTAAAATAGGGCCATGCGGGTCCCAGAACCGAGGGGATTCTGTGGAGATTCTATCCCCGAAAAAAGCTCAGAAATCCGGGCATAAATGCAGCACTGGCAAGCCTGAGACCAGGGGGGTCCTCGGAGGTTTTAACCCCGAAAAAAGCCCTTAAATCCGGCTTAAAATAGGGCCATGCGGGTCCCAGAACCGAGGGGATTCTGTGGAGGTTCTATCCCCGAAAAAAGCTTAGAAATCCGGACATAAATGCAGCACTGGCAAGCCTGAGACCAGGGGGGTCCTCGGAGGTTTTAACCCCGAAAAAAGCCCTTAAATCCGGCTTAAAATAGGGCCATGCGGGTCCCAGAACCGAGGGGATTCTGTGGAGGTTCTATCCCCGAAAAAAGCTTAGAAATCAGGACATAAATGCAGCACTGGCAAGCCTGAGACCCAGGGGGGGTCCTCGGAGGTTTTAACCCCGAAAAAAGCCCTTAAATCCGGCTTAAAATAGGGCCATGCGGGTCCCAGAACCGAGGGGATTCTGTGGAGGTTCTATCCCCGAAAAAAGCTTAGAAATCCGGACATAAATGCAGCACTGGCAAGCCTGAGACCCAGGGGGGTCCTCGGAGGTTTTAACCCCGAAAAAAGCCCTTAAATCCGGCTTAAAATAGGGCCCGGGTCCCAGAACCGAGGGGATTCTGTGGAGGTTCTATCCCCGAAAAAAGCTTAGAAATCCGGGCATAAATACAGCACTGGCAAGCTTGAGACCCAGGGGGGGTCCTCGGAGGTTTTAACCCCGAAAAAAGCCCTGAAGTACGGCTTAAAATAGGGCCATGCGGGTCCCAGAACCAAGGGGATTCTGTGGAGGTTCTATCCCCGAAAAAAGCTTAGAAATCCGGGCATAAATGCAGCACTGGCAAGCCTGAGACCCAGGGGGGGTCCTCGGAGGTTTTAACCCCGAAAAAAGCCCTCTAATCCGGCTTAAAATAGGGCCATGCGGGTCCTAGAACCGAGGGGATTCTGTGGAGGTTCTATCCCCGAAAAAAGCTCAGAAATCCGGGCATAAATGCAGCACTGGCAAGCCTGAGACCCAGGGGGGTCCTCGCAGGTTTTAACCCAGAAAAAAGGCCTTAAATCCGGCTTAAAATAGGGCCATGCGGGTCCCAGAACCGAGGGGATTCTGTGGAGGTTCTATCCCCAAAAAAAGCTTAGAAATCCGGACATAAATGCAGCACTGGCAAGCCTAAGACCCAGGGGGGGTCCTCGGAGGTTTTAACCCCGAAAAAAGCCCTCAAATCCGGCTTAAAATAGGGCCATGCGGGTTCCAGAACCGAGGGGATTCTGTGGAGGTTCTATCCCCGAAAAAAGCTCAGAAATCCGGGCATAAATGCAGCACTGGCAAGCCTGAGACCCAGGGGGGGTCCTCGGAGGTTTTAACCCCGAAAAAAGCCCTCAAATCCGGCTTAAAATAGGGCCATGCGGATCCCAGAACCGAGGGGATTCTGTGGAGATTCTATCCCCGAAAAAAGCTCAGAAATCCGGGCATAAATGCAGCACTGGCAAGCCTGAGACCCAGGAGGGGTCCTCGGAGGTTTTAACCCCGAAAAAAGCCCTTAAATCCGGCTTAAAATAGGGCCATGCGGGTCCCAGAACCGAGGGGATTCTGTGGAGGTTCTATCCCCGAAAAAAGCTTAGAAATCCGGGCATAAATGCAGCACTGGCAAGCCTGAGACCCAGGGGGGGTCCTCGGAGGTTTTAACCCCGAAAAAGCCCTTTAATCCGGCTTAAAATAGGGCCATGCGGGTCCCAGAACCGAGGGGATTCTGTGGAGGTTCTATCCCCGAAAAAAGCTTAGAAATCCGGACATAAATGCAGCACTGGCAAGCCTGAGACCCAGGGGGGGTCCTCGGAGGTTTTAACCCCAAAAAAAGCCCTCAAATCCGGCTTAAAATAGGGCCATGCGGGTCCCAGAACCGAGGGGATTCTGTGGAGGTTCTATCCCCGAAAAAAGCTTAGAAATCCGGACATAAATGCAGCACTGGCAAGCCTGAGACCCAGGGGGGGTCCTCGGAGGTTTTAACCCCGAAAAAAGCCCTTAAATCCGGCTTAAAATAGGGCCATGCGGGTCCCAGAACCGAGGGGATTCTGTGGAGGTTCTATCCCCGAAAAAAGCTTAGAAATCCGGGCATAAATACAGCACTGGCAAGCTTGAGACCCAGGGGGGGTCCTCTGAGGTTTTAACCCCGAAAAAAGCCCTGAAGTACGGCTTAAAATAGGGCCATGCGGGTCCCAGAACCGAGGGGATTCTGTGGAGGTTCTATCCCCGAAAAAAGCTTAGAAATCCGGGCATAAATGCAGCACTGGCAAGCCTGAGACCCAGGGGGGGTCCTCGGAGGTTTTAACCCCGAAAAAAGCCCTGAAGTACGGCTTAAAATAGGGCCATGCGGGTCCCAGAACCGAGGGGATTCTGTGGAGGTTCTATCCCCGAAAAAAGCTTAGAAATCCGGGCATAAATGCAGCACTGGCAAGCCTGAGACCCAGGGGGGGTCCTCGGAGGTTTTAACCCCAAAAAAAGCCCTGAAGTACGGCTTGAAATAGAGCCATCACAGGCCTGGTGCTCCAAGCAAATGTGAAAATAATTCTAAGTGCTGTGGGCAGGATTCGAACCTGCGTGGGAGGACCTCAATGACTCCCCATTCCATTGCCTTTGCCACTCGGCCACAGCGAGCCCAGTACTACAGCATAGACACTTAGGTTTTTTGGCAAAACATTTAGGCTGATTTGTAGGCTGAGGGGTGGGAAAGGCCTGGTTCTCCAGGGGGGCTATGTTCATGTGTGGGGGCTACCAGGACCTCCAGGCCGGTTAGGGTTAGGTCTGGGGAGGGCCTGGTTCTCCACGGGGGCTAGGGTTAGGCGTGGGGAAGGCCTGGACCTCCAGGGGGGCTAGGGTTAGGCGTGGGGAAGGCCTGGTTCTCCAGGGGGGGGTTAGAGTTAGGCGTAGGGAAGGCCTGGACCTCAGGAGGCTAGGTTCAGGTGTGGGCGCGCCCTGCTCCTCCAGGACCTCCAGGGGGGCTAGGCCTAAGCCTGCTGCCCGACCACGGCACCCCACACCCCCGCAGGCGCACCTCCAGGGACCGCCGGGGCCGGGGAAGACCTGTGTACCAGTCGGACCCGGGTACCCACTATTAAGCCCCCCCCTCGGACTGCACACCCTTAAGCGCTGCTGGAAAAACCAGGCGTGCCTGGGACTACAAACAGAACAAAACGTGCCTAGTACTACAAGCTAGACACTTAGTCTGATTTTCAACGTGTGCCTGGTCCTACAGCCTAAACACTTAGGTTTTTTCTCAAAACACTTTGTCTGATTTTCAACATGTGCCTGGTCCTACAGCCTAAACACTTAGGTTTTTTCTCAAAACACTTAGTCTGATTTTCAACGTGTGCCTGGTCCTACAGCCTAAACACTTAGGTTTTTTCTCAAAATACTTAGTCTGATTTTCAACGTGTGCCTGGTCCTACAGCCTAAACACTTAGGTTTTTTCTCAAAACACTTAGTCTGATTTTCAAAACGTGCCTGGTACTGCAGCCTAAACACTTAGGTTTTTTCTCAAAACACTTACTCTGATTTCCACGGTGTGCCTGGTACTACAGCCTAAACACAGGTTTTTTCTCAAAACACTTTGTCTGATTTTCAACGTGTGCCTGGTCCTACAGCCTAAACACTTAGGTTTTTTCTCAAAACACTTAGTCTGATTTTCAACGTGTGCCTGGTCCTACAGCCTAAACACTTAGGTTTTTTCTCAAAACACTTAGTCTGATTTTCAACGTGTGCCTGGTCCTACAGCCTAAACACTTAGGTTTTTTCTCA